CGGCGCTTGGAGTAGCCGGGGGGGGGGGGCGCTCTCCAGGCCTTCCCTCTGTAGCCACACATGCAGAGGTTTTGGCTATAGTGGGCATAGCCAACGCTGAAGCCAGCCGGAACTTCGTTCCTGTGCGTTCCTGCCCCAAAATAGCCCTGGTTACACATTTCTACGAGACCACTCCATGCAGACTGCTCACAGAACAACAAGGATCAACACGTCACTTACTCTGAAGTCTTCATGTCTCTTCGGTGCCTGTAATTAAACAGGAAGAAAAAAACAAGGTTGAGGTAAAATAGCCCTGGTTACACATTTCTACGAGACCACTCCATGCAGACTGCTCACAGAACAACAAGGATCAACACGTCACTTACTCTGAAGTCTTCATGTCTCTTCGGTGCCTGTAATTAAACAGGAAGAAAAAAACAAGGTTGAGGTACCGTTGGCCACCAACGGCTGCTCTCCCACACAACTGGATAATGCACCCTGGAGGTACTGTAGCAATTGTTTCCCAACAAAAATGTGTGAAAGCACAGTGTAATCTAGGCAACAGCTGTCCATGTTTGCAGATTTTAACTCTGATCTAGAAATGGGAGAGCCAAAAAAAGAAAACTACACAGGTGTTTGTACAGCAAAGCTCCCCCAGCTGCAGCAGTGCTGAGGAATCCTAGCGCAAAAGCAACCCATGGGTGGCCATTTCCAAGCCTTTTGAAAAGTGACTGAAATGTTGCAGGTGCAAAGTTTCTTTATTGACATTTTTAAAGCCCACCTTTCCTCCAAGGAGCTCAGGGTCTGCATATATTGGACTGGATCCAGCCAGCTTTTTCACTCAATTTGGTCCAGTTCTCATTACTACACCCCACACGGCTTTTGTCCATGCAGGTCCCCTGTTCCCCAGCATAGTCTTTTTGGGTGGTCACAGGGGAACCCTTCCTCTCTTTTCCACTCGCAGAAAAGCTGGCAAGATCCAACCCTCCCTTCCTCCATTTTCCCCTCACAACACCCCTGAGAGGTAGGCCAGGCTGAGAGAGGGTGACCGGCTCCCCAAGTCACCAAGTAAGTTTCATGGCATAGTGTGGATTTGAACCTGGGTCTCCCAGATCCCAGGCCAATGCTTCAGCCTCAAGACCCCATTGGCACTTCTTGAAGAACAGTCACCCTTGTGCTCTTCATGAGTTTGTTTGCGAGTGATGGCTCATGACCAGTACTGACCACCATCGTACTACCCTCAAATCAACCTTCCCAGAGCAGACTGAGTGACTGTGACAGTATGCAAATTTCTGGTCTGTTCTTGTGGTGTCCTGTTCATAATTCTAGTCCACAACGCGTACATTTGGGGGAAAGGCTGGACAAAGTGCAGGCTTCAAGTAGGCCAGATACACTGCGCCCATGTCGCAGCACTGCATGGTAAATAAATAGTAGCAAGACTGGAGTCCAGTAGCGTCTTAAGAGGCCACCAAAGAGTTTCAGGGTATAGACTTTTGAGAGTCTGATGATGGTAGGGGACTTTGACTCTCAAAAGCTTATAACCTGCCCTGACCTGGATATCCCAGGCAAACCCGATCTCGTCAGATCCCAGAAGCTAAGCAGGGCCGACCCTGGCAAGTATTTGGATGGGAGACCACCAAAGAATACCATCAGGGTTTCTCGGGTGCTTTCAAAAGCAAGCTAAAACCCACAGGGGCTAGTCTGCCGGAGCAGTGGTGAGAATGAGTCCTTAAATTCTTTCCCATTTGTGAAGGGTTTCTTGCTCCATGTTAAGCATAAATTTCCCTTTTTCACTGAGAAGCGAGTGCACTCGCATTCCAGGATTAGAGGGCTGAAAATGTAGCTCTGCTAAGTCATCCCAACTCTGTACATTCTGCATGCAAAGAGGAGAGCAGGACTGTGCGTACTGACCCTGACCCTGGACATACAACCATCTACAATGAGGCCTGTGCACAGAGGTCAATTCGGGGGGGATCGCGGGGGATCGCAGTTCCCCCGGGTGAGGTGCGGGGGATGGGGCACACGACGAAGCCCTGCCCCCCATTTCCGGCCCTCATTCATCCAGGAGGAGGCAGGAGAAGAGGGAGGGTAAGTTGCTTCCTCCCCGCCTCTCCCCACCCCTGCCTGCCTGGGGCCAGGGAGGGCCTTGGCGGGGCTTCCTCGCACTCCCGCCGGCCTTGCAGGTCCACCGCCGGGCCCCTGATGTCAGGGGGTGTGGCATATGCTAATGAGTTATGCTAATGAGTTCTCCTAGCTCTTTTTCTACGAAACTGTGACTGACTCAAGGTCACCCAGCAGGCCTCATGTGCCTCAAGGTGGCTTAACCGTCACATTCCCTTCCTCTCCCCACAACAGACACCTTATGAGGCAGGTGGGGCTAAGACAGTTCCGAGAGAACCGTGACTGGCCCAAGGTCACCCAGCAAGTTTCATGTGGAGGAGTAGGGAATCAAACCCAGTTCTCCAGATTAGAGTCTGCCGCTCTTAACCACTACACCACACTGGCTCTACTGCAGAACAACATAGCTACACTCTGAAAATAGAAACAAGAACACCTCAGACAGCAATCATTGGAGGCATCCTTCCTGTGCAATGTGTGTGTGTGTCTGTGTGTGTGTCTGTGTGTGTGAGCCCTGTAGCTAGCAACTTTTTGCTGGGGGGGGGGAAATTTTTTGCTTAGGGGGCCAGCCATTATATGCCTGTATGGAGCTACGTACATTCTCCCCCCCCCCCAGGCTGGTGCAGATGGGGCTGATTGACTAACTGCAAGCCAGTGTACTTTAGAGCTGCGGAGTGTACTTTAGAGCTGCAGAGTGCACAGCTGGAATCCTGTGCCTTGACTTCCCTGCAAGGTGCATGGAGGATTGCCTGGCCTCACCCACACTTTTGCAACGTTGCCCTCTCGGGTTCCCCTGCTGGTGCCTGCTCCAGGTGGCTGCTTAGGAAGGCGCCTTGAAGAGCGCCTCTGGAAGTTTGACCAGGAGATGGTCTTGCGAGATCAGACCTCCGATTCTATGCAGCCCGTTTCACTGGCAGGCACGTAGCTACTGTGGAGCTCAGGGGGAGGAGAAGCCAAGGCTCAGGTTGGGGCCCTGGAAGAAACATTAGGGGGCCAGGCCCATGGGCCCCGCGTTAGCTATGGGTCAGGTGTGTGTGTGTGCACGCATCCACACATTATGCTCATAAAGCCAAAATGTGTGTCTTTTTAAATTCTCATTACTGTGATCTTTCCAAAGTCATTTGGTCACCACAGAGTTATGTCTTCTCCTGCTTTTCCCCTTCCCCCTTCCTAGACTGATGGATTTTATTAGTTTTCTGCTTTATTGCCCTTTTCCTGAATGTGATATTTTTTATTTTGCTTTACTGCTCTCAATGATTTCATCGCTCCCCTGTGGTTTCATCGACCCTTCTTGGCTGGCACGGGCTGGAAATGATTCTTTTAACCATCTTTTAATCGGCTGGTCTTGTTTCCTGTGGCTCTGTCGGGGACAGTTTATTGCATTTTAATTATGTCTTCCAAAATGTGCAAGCAGCCACTTCAACAGCATACACCGAGGAGGTGGAATATATGTTTTAACATAAACTTTTAAAAAATCTAGATTTTTGGATTAGAATAAATTATGCAAATACACAAATTTGCATAATTGATTCCTACCCTGTGCGCTGGATTTCATGGGGCATAAACGGTTTATAACAGATCTATAATGCCTAGGATTGCCAACAACCTACAGGGAAAAAATGCCCTGCCCTTTAATGGAGGTTTAATGTGTGGAAACCAGCAAGTGAAGCTTTTCATGGCAGAGGGGTAAATAATATCACTTGGTAAATAACATCCCATTAAGCTGCTATTAAGGGGGTGGGACACTTTTTTATCTCCAGGTTGTAGGCAACCAAAATTGCCCTTCGGCTCCTAGTCTCAGTCATGTCCTCTTCAGGTTTCATTTTGCACAGGCAATTATGCCTTCGTACAAAAGATTCACACGTAAATTGCAGTTCTCGCTGTGACAATAATCTTCAGCAAGGGCCCGGGTCTCGCCAGTTTGACAATACCATGCCTTTCTGCACAGCAGTGATCCACATACATATGCAGCAAAATAGCAGCTTTGTGCATTCTGTATCATGATGCCGTACGAATAACATAGTTCTATCCGTGAGCTGTACATGATGCTATAGGAATAGCAAAGTTCTATCCACGAGCCGTACGTGATGCTTGGCAGAATTTGTAAACGACAGCCACTACAAAAAGGAAACTCCTTGCCCAAGCAGGGGTATAGACTTCTCAATTTCCGGGGGGGTGGGGGGCGGCGGCGAAGTGGTCATGGGGATGAATCTGCTCCAAACCCACACTAAGTAATCTATACTAAATTATTTTAAAATGACAAATATATTTTTTTAAATGTATGCCATCAACAATTAATCATGTGGTTTTAAAAATGTGATTTTTTTCACTCGTAATAGTCTGAATCTCAGTCAAAGAAAGAGGACTCTGTGATGTCATGAACTCCTTCATTGAGACCATTTGAGTAAATATGTCATTCATGTGTGAAACGAAACACTTCCTCCCCCTCCCTCTTTTCCTCACAAGTTAGGCCGAGTATGTGACTGGCCCAGGGTCACACAGTGTACTTTGTGATTAAGTGGGGATTTGCCGTGTAAATTTGGACAGTGCGAAAGACAACAACGGAAGGGGGAGGGGCGGGAGAGACTGGAACAGTCAAAATTCGAGTAGATACCATTTTGGTTATTTGGCATTGACTGTAATTGGGGGTCATAGTTGGGGGGTGAGGCTTGGGAAAGGCTCCACATAAAAGGTGAGTTTTGAGGAGGATTGTTGTGGGGGGGCATGTACATGTCCAAGAAGAGAGTTCCAGGTGGAACAAAGGGAATGGACAGAGACATTAAGACTATTAAAGGTCCAATGCACACATTGCAGAGGGAAATGGACAGAGACATTAAGGAAGGTCCAGTGTACACATTGCAAAGTCATGGGTCTGCCACATTTCCTGTCAAGCAGGCATGTTTTAGAAGGTCTATGATTGAAACTTAATTCCCCAGTATATGGGGGAATAATTCAGATTGGGAACAGATAGTGCAAGGAACAGGGAGCTTAAATCCCCAGCCCATACACTTTTCCAACTTCAAATGTTCCCAAGCCACTATTTGCCCGTGGGGAAACTTGTTAGTAGCCCACAGCATGTGTTAAGTTTCCCTAGTAGGGCAGTTCACTGCTTCTTTGTGTCATTTCAGTTCAGGAAAATAGGGGTGCACTAAAGCCCCCTCTTCCTACACATCAAAGTCCTGATCAGATTAAGTTCTGAGCATGGAAACCTCCAGCACATGTCTCTTGACAGGACACATGAGGAATACAGGACTTTGCAATGTGTGAACTGGCCCGATGATGCCCTGCGTGCACATGATGGTTGTTTTATTTTGGCTGGTCTGCATAAAACTTATTGACGTGGCTTTTGTTTTTGGATCAAAAGAGCCTTTCAGGAAGCTGGGAATGCTGGGAGCAAAGGTCACAGGAAGGGACGTATCGGGAAACAATGGCAGAAAGAGAAAGGCATGGAAAATCCATGGGGGATTTTGAAAGTCAGGGTATTGTATGTAGGACATTGATTTCCAAATCTAGAAAGGAACAGATGGAATAGCCAAGAGAGAAGATTCAATGGGATGAGGAAGCCGGAATATGGAGCCGTTTTTAGAGAGGGGTGTGTACCATCTGTTCCAGAATTCTGGTTAAGTGGCCATTACAGGCCCGTAGCCAAGATTTTTTAATTCAGGGGGCCTTTAAATAAGTCGGGGAGGCACCCCGCACACCCCCGCAAGGGAGCACCACAAATACAATTAAACCCACCCAAGGGAGCACCTGGGCTGGATGGGAAGTTAGGGGGCCTTGGCAGTAGGTCAGGGGGCTGGGCCCCAAGATGCCCCACTGTAGCTACGGGCCTGGGCCATTACCAGTAGAGTAAAGGTGGCTCTTCCCCTTCCTACAGTGCTCTTCCCACTATGAAGTGAAGGCCAACTTCTGCTCTAGAAAGCAGAACAGACAGCTGTGGGATATCTTCATGTGAAATTACTGAACGTGACCTTACTTGCGGGGAAAAGAGAAGGGAAGACACTCCTGTCAATTAAAGTGTGAACAGAGCACCAGCTGTCCTGAGTAACCCTGACATTAGGAGATGCCAATATGGTGCCTGTAGGCTCCACCACAGCACCTGTCCACACCTTTCCTGCACTCTGCTAAGTGTTTTTAGAAAGTGGGTGGTGCCAGGTGCAGCTTCTGCCCAGCAAGGCCTCTGACTGACCACTAGAGATTGCTTTGGCAGCAACTGCCACAACAGCACAGGGATCTTCACTGGGTGACTGGAGGTAAGCTGTGGCAGCCATTTTGTGGCTGGCTTCACCACCTGTGGCAGCCATTTTGTGTTTGCGCCCATTAAGTTATGTCAGAATTCCAAAGGTGCCCAAAAGGCTGGGGACACCTGCACTACATAATGACTTGATGATCTTTGTTTGCATAAATACCACTCGGTTCACATAATTTGCTTGGATATGTTTAAAAATCCAGAGAACACCTGAGAATTCTCTGTGGATTGCCCACCTGCTCCCACCAGAAGTCATATGTCTTACATAACATGTGTTCTGCCCCAGCCCTTAGGTATATGCCCAACTTACACGCCTTCCCGTCGGCAGCACATGATGTAGGCCAGGATGAGACAGAGAAGAATGCCCACAATGAGAGGGAGAAGGAAAGTGAGCAAGAAGTCAGTGAGGAACAACCTATCAGGGGCATCCTCTGGAGGATTGAATTCTGGGCCAGGCTCAAGCACCCCATCACCGTAGACCATCACCATTTCTGTGGTGTTTACATCTGTGAGGTCTATCTAAGGAACATAAAAACAAAGAAGAACAGGAAATCAAGATTTCTTGACCTCAGGAATGGCTAGCCAAATCTTCCTACATGCCATTTCCCCTACTTCCTCTGCATCCCTGTTAAGGTTGCCAACCTCCAGATGGTAGCTGGAGACCTCCTGGGAGTACAACTGGTCTCCAGGCTGGCCCATAACTATAGTGGGGCTATTGGGGGCTCTGCCCCTTCCTTAAAGGGCCAGCCCCCTTCTTTAAAGGCCCCCGCTTCTTCCCAAAAGCATTTAAAGGGATGGTGCGTGCTCCCTCCCTTCCTCCTGCAAGATTTAAAAGGCTCTCCAGCTGATTGGTGGGCCACAATGCACGCCACCACCCCTTCATTATGGCAAATAATGGCAGCCCCACCAGAAAAAAAATTTCGCCCCGGTCACACGGGCCAGATAACCCAGGGGGGGAGGCGTGGCTGTTCGCCCCGGAGCAAAATAAAGCATGGTAGCCCAATCACACGGTCCCCTGAGTCTCCATGCTTCGGCTGTTAGCTGGCGATCACACGGCGATGCTGCAGTGTGGCAAAGAAGTGGCGCAGCGCGATCACACAAGCGTTTCGTGTTTGTGCGCATGCGCAGTTCCGCGGAGCAGCACTGCTTTCAGTTTCGTGTTTGTGTGCATGCGCTTAGGAAAAGCATCCAGTTTGCGACGGGACATTGACGGGCGCCGGATGCCACGGGATACTAGCGCTCCCGCGATCAGACGCCCACCTGTGCCGCGCGTTTTCCAGATACTAGTGCACTTTCCTTGGTACTTTTTAACTCCGCATCTTCGGCAGGACGCCACAGGTTGGCCACGGGTGCACTATGCTTCCCAGATGTTGCGGTGTGATCGCGCCCCGAAAATTCGCCCAACATTCATGCCTTTCGCGCAGCAAATTCTCCGTGTGACCGGGGCCTTTGAACCACAAAATCCTGGCTATGGGCCTGTCTCCAGGCAACAGACATCAGTTCACCTGGAGAAAATAGCTGCTTTGGAAGGTAGACTATGGCCTTGCACCCCATTAAAGTCCCACCCCTTCCTCCTCGGGCTCCACCCCCAAAATCTCTGTGTATTTCCCATCCCAGAGGTGGCAACCCTAATCCCCGCCTCTCACCAGGGTAAGATTGCACCAGTCCACTTTGAATCTGGGGCTGAAGCTGTCGTAACAGGTAATGACCGGCTGTTGCTCCAACTTACACCGGTAACGGTTTTCAGGGGACTTGGCCTCTGTCAAGCACTCAGTGAATGGATCCTTGGAGCCCACCTTGATGTAGATTCTGAGAAGAGGAAAAGAAGGTAAGGAGACCAAGAGGGGGGAAAGGAAGAAAGAATAAACCTGTAGAATAAGGGAGACAGAAAGAAATTCAATTGTTTTCTACCCCAATACACATACAGTAGTGAGGCAAAACCTGTAAGGGAACAGGGAGTTAGAACTGGGCCCTCTAGAATTCCATAAGTGGTACTTCAAACATGTTGTTCACCCCTTAAAAGGTAACTGGAGAGATGGAGGGTGAGATCCAACCAGCTTTTCCACAGGTGAAAAAGTAGGGTTCCCAGTTCTAGGCTGGGAAATAGCTGGAGATTTTGGGGGTATAGCCTGGGGAGGGAGGGGTTTGGGGAGGGCAGAGACCTCAGCATGCTATAATTGCATAGAATCCACCCCCTCAAGTTGCTATTTTCTCCAGGGGAACTGAGGGTGCTTGTCTGGAGATCAATTGTAATACTGGGAGGTCTCCAGGTGCCACCTGGAGCTTAGCAACCCTATGAAAAGAGGGGAAAGAGGTGCTGTCATTTCAGACAGAACCGTTTTAGAACCAGTTCCCTACCAGAATATATTTGTAATTTCAGACACAAACACTTCTGTCCCCTTTAGAAAACGGGGCTGAAGCGTTTTACCTCTCAACCGCTTCCAAGTAGTCTTCAGTTTCCTCTACCGGTTCCGATGCGCTTTTTCCCGCTGTTTTTCGCCCACGCAGGCAATCTCCGGCTTTTTTTTTAACGTTCGCTTTATAGCGCTATAGCACTATGACGCAACAGCATTATATCAACCCCATTGGAATGCCTGGAGTGTTTTGTTATAGTGCTATAGCGCTCTAAAGCAAATGTTCCCAAAAAAAAAAGCCGGAGATCGCCCACATGGGCGAAAAATGGCGGGGGGAAAGCGGTGCAGTCTGAAATGGCAAACTGCTTCAGATCCAGCTCTTTACTGGAAGGGGAAAGCCGTGTGTGAAATGGCAGCCCTATACCGGTTTACTCCATGACAGATCAAAAACGGCTTCAAAATGGGTTAAAACGGTAATGTGAAATTCCTCTTGGTTTTTATACCCTGCTTTTCCCTACCTACCTTTCTCTACTGAGTCTCAAAGCAACTTACATTCACCTTCCCTTCCTCTCCCCACAACGGGCGCCTTGTGAGGCAGGTGGGGCTGAGAGAGTTCTGAGAGAACTGGGACTAGCCCAAGGTCACCCAGCAGGCTTCATGGGGAGGAGGAGTGGGGAATCAAACCCAGATCTCCAGGTTAGAGTCCACCACTCTTAACCACTGCATCACGCTGGCTTTGAAAAAGGGGAGAGGAGTCGATTTGACTACCCAGATAGGACCATCTCTCCCTACATGTTGTTGTGACTACCTACAGTTCTCAGGACACACTTGCTGTCCTCCTGCTTCTCACAGCCTGCCTGGCATCAATCAGAGCATGGGCCATTTGGGAATGGCCCCTACCTTATGGATCAGGCTCTCTGAAGCAGGTGGAGGGGTGCAGTCTCTGGAATTGTTTAAGGAGATGCTGCAAGGTTATTTTAATGGAGTGTAGGCTGTGGGGGTATTGTACCTTTTATGTTTTCAGTTTGGCTTTCTAAGCCTCCATTGGGGAAAAAAGGAAAGGCAGGGTATGAGTATTTTTAATTAAATAAATAAATAAGGCAACACTGTACAAAATCTGTACGCTGTACAAAATCTGTACAAACAATAGCCATGTGGGATGAGTGTTGGAACAGGAGGGAGAAACAGAAGAGATGGAGTGAAAAAGTGGGCTGGATCCCAGTCACGGATTGGGGCTGAGGCATTAGGAAAAGGGGAAGGATAACCTTCCTAGGGGTGCAGGGTTACCAACCTCCAGGTGGTGGCTGGGGATATCCCAGAACTGCAACTGATTTCCAGGTGACAGAGATCAGTTCACCTGGAGAAAATGGCTGCTTTGGAAGGTGGACGGTGTGGCATTATACCCCACTGAAGTCCCTCCCCTCCCCAAACCCTACCTGCCTCAGGCTCCACCCCCAAAATCTCCAGGTATTTCCTAATCCAGAGCTGGCAAGGTGTGACCTGAGCATCCCCCAAAATTACAGTTCATCTCCAGACTGCAGAGATCAGTTCCCCTGGAACAAATGGATGTTTTGGGGGGTGGACTCTATGGCATTGTACCCCACTGAGGTCCTCCCCAGGCTCCATCCCCAAATCTCCAGGTGTTTCCCAACCTGAATCTGGCCACCCTACCCCCACCCCACCCCCTGCCACTGGTCAGGGGGGAACTGCAAACCTACTTCCTCCCATCCTGATTCTCAGATCAAAATGACTCCCTTCCAACCTCTTTGGGCCTGCCCCTTTCCCCCTGCCAGGGCTTAAACCAGCACCACCCTCCAAATCTCCTGGCGTTTGCTGGCACGTGGCTGGCAACCTATACCAAAGGGTCTGGCTCAGAAAAATTCTGCATCATATGTTCAGATCATCTACAGGGCTTCACATTACCATGTAAATGCTACTGGGTGAAGTCACCTCATACATTTTGTTTCCACGGTCAAAATGGTGTCAGATAGACAAAACTGGAACAGAATCCAGAGCTCATGAGTGAGAGTGCCACAGCAGAAACAGGAACCTTGACAGTTTTAGGACTATTCCCATGCTCCTAGGATTACCGGCCTCCAGGTCGGGCCTGAAGATCTAAGCTGACCATAACAGAATCCTTACCTTGATGGAATGACACACATTCAGACTTTTGCAATCTCTGTACCAGAATAATTGGAATGAATATGGCCATACCTAGGGCCCATCATTAATACCAGCAACACAATTGCAAACATATAAGGATACAACATCTGGTCTTTAAATAAGTATACATATGTTTGAATGTGTGTCTATACTATGTTGTATAGTGACCACTGAGGAAGGCCCTTTGAGGCCGAAACGCCCCCCCTTTTTCCCCAGTTTTTGGGGCCTGAAGATCTCCCGATTTGACAACTGGTCTCCAGCTGACAGAGATTCGCTCCCCTGGAGAAAATGGCTGCTTTGAAGGGTGGACTCTATGGCATTGTACCATGCTGAGGCCCCTCCCCTCCCTAAACCCCACCCTCTCCTGGATCCACCCCCCAAGTCTTCAGGTATTTTCCAACCTAGACCTGGCAACCCTACATGCTCCACAAGACACTCAGTTGTCTTACCCTTCCTTCCTGTTCTCAATCGGCAAAGGCACACGGCCTCCCCGGTCCAAGGCTGAGGAGATATTGACAACAACCAAGCCTTCTTGCTCCCACATGCTGTCCACGGCTTGTTGGAAACGTTCGTGAACGTCGGTTGGCAGCACTTCCTCTACGTTCCAGTTCTTCACTGAGAAGTCAGCCTGGTAGGGCATCTCTCCGTCTGCAGAGAGGGGGGGTAGGGAAAAGGAGACCGGGGGGGGGGGGGACGGGACCATGCTAGGTCTCAAGGCTAGTGGCACAGGGCTAAATTTGTGTACCATCCATGAGACCATTGTACTCCCAAGACAGTGTTATGACCTTAACCTCAGGGGGGGAAAAGAAAATGGGACTGCTTGACAACTTGACAGTGGGCCTTTCAGAAACTTAAAAAGGTAAAGGTTCCCTTGCTTGAAAGCCAGTCAAATCCGACTGTAGGGTTGCGGTGCTCATCTCTGTTTCAAAGCCGAAGAGCCAGCGCTGTCCGAAGACGTTTCCGTGGCCATGTGGCCAGCATGACTAAACACCAAGGCGCACGGAACGCACGAAACTTACAGGCCCACAAAACTCTCTGCCAACGGACAAGTGTCAATGTGCCAATCCGCACCTCAGGCAGGCTGGCCCGTGCTAACCAGGCCATGCCTTTGTCTTATTTATTTTTATTTTGGTATACTGCCTCTCCAGATATATGCTCAAGGCAGCTTGGTTGGTCTGTTTCTAAGGTTGCCAACCTCCAAGGGGGTGCCTGGAGATCTCTTGGGATTACAGCCAATCTCCAGGTAACAAGAGACCAGTTCATCTGGAGAAAATGGCCGCGTTGGGAGGTGGACTCTATGGCATTATAACCCTCTGAAGTCCTTCCCCCTCCTCAAACCCCGCCCTCCTCAGGCTCCACCCCCTCCCACATATCCAAGTATTTCCCAACCCAGAGCTGGCAACTCTCTCCATTTGGGGAAAGTGGCTGTCGAGTCCTTCCTCACAAGGGAGCACTACAGACATCCCTGTGGTTGAAGCCGGTAAACATGTTAGAATACATAAGATCTACTATGTGTGTGAAGCAAGGAGGATAAGAAGAATATCCTACAGGGGGCATCAGAGCAGTTAAGGACTTCCTGGTATTTTTCAAATGATCCTCCTCCTGATTGGCTCATCAGAGACTTCCTTCTCTTTTGAGTCCTCTTCTTCTTCGGCTGCTTGTTACACAGTTAGGTGGTTAGACAGTTAAAGCCTTCTCTCTCCTCTCCTCTTCGCACAGTTGTTTCTCTTCTAAATAAAACTGTTTATCCTTTCAGCAGCTTGAGCTCTTGCTCCTTTTGCATAATTAAAATTCTACCAACAGAAAATTGGGCTGCTAAACTGAGTAAGACGTGTCATGGGTGGGGAGTCCCAGGTGTTGCCTCCTACAAAAAATGTCTGCATAGATAGGATCCAGAGAGAACTGAGGAAGTCGGCCCATATCCAGGAAAGCTTGTGCTGGAGAAATATATGCTACATTGTAAGGTTGCGAGCCATAACAGGCATTCCAGTGAGAGAATTCTGGGGGTGGGAACAGATCTTTTGGCTAATGTACAACCTCACTTCTGGTACAATACCAGAAGTGATGTTGGTTAGGGTTGCCATTCCCCTGATGGTTTAGGGCCCCCAATTCACCACCTGTCAGCTGGCTGGTGGGTGAGCCCCACCCACAAAGAGCCCCACCACGCCTGACATGCCTGATACAATGATGTCACCCGGAGGTGACATCATTGCACTGGGCACATCATGACGGGGACGCTCTAGCATTTGGCAAAAAACTCTATGCTCACCATAGAGCTTTTAGCCAAATGCTAGTGCGCCCCCTGTGCAATAGTGAGGCGGGAAGAACAGGAGAACAGCCTAGAGCCCCCCACCAGTAGAAGGTAAGGACTGGGCAACCCAACGTTAGTGATTTGGGACGACACTCTGGGATTCACTCAGAAATCTATGGGAGACCTAGCCCCCCCCCCCCTATTAAGGAGCCACACATCTCCTGTTTGCTCTTGAGATGGCTACCCCACTGGAATTAAAACCAGCAAAGCAATCAATGAAAAGTTTACCTGGAGATGGGACAATGCTTATGACCATGGTTTGTCTCACAGTCTCATAGGTGTATCTGTTATATGCCGTCACCTATCGTGGAAAAGAGAAAAAGATCTGGTTGCTCTTTCTGTCTCAAGGAGAAACAAAATGGCTGCCAGTCAAGCTAAGGAAAAGCACTGGGAGCACAGAAACCCAGAATGCAGCAGGCTGAACCTCCATCCATCCAGAACATAGTTCTTCAGATCTGGCACTGAGATATTTGGTGACCTCCAATCTGTACTGCAGGGTCTTGGGCTTCATCAAAAGTTCAAATAAGGGCTCCAAAATGTGCCTGTCCAGACAAGCTACCCACACTACAAAAAAGTATACATTGCTACTGTTGCTGCCACAACACAGAGACATCTTCGCTAGGTCTAAATTAAAAATATATGGGGGGGGGGCGTTTTTGCAGCCAAGTCATAGCTGATTTATTGTGAACCTGTAGGGTTTTCAAGGCAAGCGATGTTTCAGAGGTGGTTTGCTATTGCCTGCCTCTGCATCACGACCCTGGTATTCCTTGGAGGTCTTCCATCCAAATACTAGCCAGGGCTGACCCTGCTTAGCCTCCGAGATCTAACAAGATGAGGCCCGCCTGGGCTATCCAGATCAGGGCTTTATGATTTAGAACTCCAAAAATATCCTACATGAGCCACAACTAACACTGATGCTTAAAGTTGATCAGTAAACCCCAAGGAGGCAGTGAACTCCAACAATGTTGCCCAAGGACACCTTGGTCTCCACTGGTATCTTTCTTGATCCCTGAAGCAAAGAACCAGTCCTGGCTTTCTTCATCACTGGCACAGAAGCTACTTCAGAGGACCCCACAGTGCATCACCTTTGGGTCATAAGAACATAAGAGAATCCATGTTGGATCAGACCAATGACCAATCCAATCCAACACTCTATGTCACACAGTGGCCAAAACTCAGGTGCCATCAGGAGGTTCACCAGTGGGGCCAGAACTCCAGAAGCATTCACACTGTTGCCCCCCCAAGCACGAAAATAGCCACTGATGGACCTCTGCTCCATATAAGAACATAAGAGAAGCCATGCTGGATCACGCCAATGGCCCATTCAGTTCAACACTCTATGTCACACAGTGGCCAAAACCCGGGTGCCATCAGGAGGTTCACCAGTGGGGTCAGAACTCCAGAAGCCCTTCCACTGTTGCCCCCCAAGCACCAAGAATACAAAGCATCATTGCCCCAGACACAGTGTTCCATCTATATGTTGTGACTAATAGCCACTGATGGACCTCTGTTCCATATGTTTATCCAATTCCCTCTTGAAAGTATCTATGCTTGTAGCCACCACTGCTTCCTGCGGCAGTGAATTGCAAATGTTAATTACTCTATAGAGAATACCCATTCAGAAATAGTTGCCCCATCATAGGAGGATGCTGGACTTTGGACCTCCCAATCTGCTGTAACTGCCCTCATGACAACCATTTTGTAAATGGTCCCGCCTCCATGGCAGCCATTTTGTGGTGGCAGCGGCTACCTTTTCTCGAAATTCCAGAAGTGCTCACGGTCTTTCTGCCTGTCCTTCATTCTAGTTTAAACACACACATACCCACACACCTCAATTGTCTCTGTGCCAACTTCTTTGTCCGTGGCAGACCCGTAGAGATAGCCCGTCTGGAACGGAGTGCGTTGGATGTAGCGTAGCCACTGGGGCAAATCCGGATGATCCAGCAAGTTGGCATGGAAAGTGATGGGGGGATCAAACGACACTTCTGTAAGATTTCAGACCCAGAACTAAAATCAGGCCTTTGTAAGCAGAGAAAAAAAGTCAGTGTGGTGCTGTGGTTAGAGTGTGGGACAAGAACTGAGGGAGCCTAGGTTCGAATCCCCACATGCCCTAAAGCTGAATTTTGCCCAGTCATTCTCTGTCAACCTAATCTAACTCTCAGGAGTGAGGATAAAACAGGAAGGGAGAACTATGTGCAGTGCTCTTGCAAGAAGAGTGGGATAAAAATGTATTTATAAGCAAGTTTTGTAACATCCACTCCATAGAATCTAATCCTTGAAAGGCCAGGATGGGTGCAGGCTATCTCTGCTGAACCAAGGTAAGGAATGGAAGATCCCATTAGGATCTGCTTGGATTAGAGAGGCAGAGGGACACGTTCCATTCCCATATTTATTTGTGTTACAAAATTTACATCCTGTCTGCCCTCACAAGGTCTGTTTGATCACAAGGGCCACCAAAGCAGCGTGGTTTTTCTGACCATCTGTATTACTCAGTGAGGGATGATGAAGAAGAAGAAGAGCTGGTTTTTCTACTCCACTTTTCTCTACTCTAAGGAGTCTCAGAGCGGCTCACAATCTCCTTCCTTTCCTCTCCCCACAACAGACACCCTGTGAGGCTGGTGGGGCTGAGAGAGTTCTGAGAACGGTGACTGGCCCAAGGTCACCCAGCAGGCTTCACATGGAGGAGAGGGGAATCGAACCCGGTTCTCCAGATTAGAGTCCACCCCTCTTAACCACCGCACCATGCTGGCTCTCATCACCACACTGGGACAAACTAACTGTGACTGTGTACCTCTTTATGGGGCGGAGGAGATCTGGATGATGACTTTGGTGTAGGGGAGCAGAGTTAACTTGTTCTTCTTTTGCAGTTTACCCTGAGCTAAACCTGCTCTCCTTCAAGATTGCTGTCTGCCTGCAGATGGGATTGCCAACCTCCAGGTAGTAGCCGGCAGGGGTCATTTCGCAGAAAAAGAGGTGCAGGAGCCCATTAGCATAACTTATTAGCATAGCTTATTTCCATATGCCACACGCCCTGACATCACCGGAAGTGTGTCAGAAGGCAACACCCACTGCTCAGGCTCCACTGGACTGTTTTGGATTGCCAGCTATGGAGGGAGGGGAATGCACAGATATGCCCTCACAGAGGAGGGAGAGCTTGTACCTGAAGGCAGGCGGGGGGGGCCTCTGCAACTTACCTGGCTGCTTCTTGCTCCTCTTGGCCCGACTGAGGGTGGCTGGGAGCAGGGGGCGGGGCTTGTTGCATGTGCCCGACCCCTGGGCTCCTTACTGCCAGAGCCAGGGGTCATTTCGTAGAAAAAGAGCTAGGGGGACTCATTAGCATAACTCATTAGCATATGCCACACCTCCTGACATCACCGGAAGTGTGTCCTCCCCACAGCCGGCGGCGACCTCCAGCGGGCACCAGCAGGGAGCTCCAGGCCCCGCCCTCCCGCACCTCACCCGGGGGGATGGCGTCCCCCCGCGTCCCCCCCCAAATGACCCCTGGCCAGAGCTCTGCTCCTGTGCGCTCCCGCAGGAAATGACCCCTGGTAGCTGGAGATCTCCCAGAATTACAACTGATCTCCAGACAGTAGAGATTCGGTCCCCTGAGAAAGTGGCTACTTTGGCTGGTGGACTATACGGGGTTATACCCTGCTGAAGTCCTTCCCTTCTTCAAACCCTGTCCTCTACAGGCTCAACTCCCCAAATCTCCAGGTATTTCTCAACCCAGATCTGGCAACTCTACTTCAGAGAGGGGACCATACAAGAATCATACAGTACTGGACTGAGGGACAGAGAGAGCATCAAACTGAAACATATATATTAGTTCCAAGGAGAAGACAATAAAGAAATTAATTGTGCACAGGGACTTCCGGTTACGGTGGCGCAAATGGTGGTTGCACTCTTGAGACGCTCCTGGAGGCAATACGCCCACGCGCGGTTGGGGGGGACTCCGCATGGGCGGAGACCCTAGGAGCCTTAGTGCAAAGGCTCCAGACCAGGGGGCGCACCGGGGAGTTGCCTCTTTGCCAACCTGACGGTCGGGGAATTGAGGCTTTCCCCATGCCCCAAAGGTCCCGCCGCGTTGTGCCCGAATGGGACTCAGCAACGCCACCGGTTTCTTTGGAGTGAAGAAGCGATAAAACGATTATAAAAGACGAAATTGGCCGCAAACTGTGAGTTGACGAGCGGAACTTTTAAACGTTTCCCTCCCCCCCCCAGGAGTAAGCGCATGGGAGGAGGGTGGATAGCCCCCCCCTTATAGAAAGAGACTGTATTAATCGCGAGGAGGGGGAGTGAAAATTCGGAATAAAAAAGTTACTTTTTGGGAAATTCTTTAAAGCGAAGAAGAGGGTTTTGTTCCAAAGCTGCGCGGCATAAACTTTTAAAAAGTAAACAAAAAAGTCAAGATGTCGGGCAAAAGAAGAAGGAGAAACAGGCAAAGAAGCAGGCAGGAACTTCCGGACCTAGTCCCCGCCTTACAGAGTCGGCTGTCACTCAACATGAAAGGGAGATGCTGCGCCCTCTGCTGGACCAAATGTAGAAAATCAGTCAAACGTTATCCAGCATAGAAAGTGTCCTTAGTAGTCAACAGACACAATTGACAGATACAGCTAAGAAGATGGTGGAGATCGCAAAGAAATGTCTGATATCAACGGAGGATACACAAAAGATCAAGAAGAAGGTCAAAAAATAGAAAAAAAAACCAATACAAGACAACAAGCTATTGATGTTACAGATGGAAAAATCAAACTTAACTCTCCGATTTCAAGGTATCCAGGAGGTTGAGAAAGAAGATCTCAGAAGCATGTTGGTGAATGCTTTGGCACTGACGGGCAGTGCAGCGGATAAATTAAGTGAAGAGATGGATTTGGCATATAGAGCCTACACCAACTTTACGAAGAAAAATAACCTGCTAGCTGAAGTGGTTGTTAAATTTACCAAACAGCGCATTAGAGATCAAATTTTAAAAGCGACATCATCAAAGCCCTTGAAGATTGGAGAACAGACCATAAGGATTTTAAAAGATGTACCATTTGAAATTCGTCAGAAGCAGAAGGTTTATAAAGGACTGACCACATTCTTGCAAAATCACCAAATTAACTACAGATGGTTGATTCCAGAAGGGCTGGTCTTTAAATTTAAAGACAAAAGAGAAAGGATAGACTCCATTTTCAAAGCTCAAGACTTTTTGAAGAGACACGCTGGTTCAGAGGAAGCAGAACTCACTACATGGAAGGTACTCAGCAGTGAGGAGGACAGCAGCTCGGAGGGAGGAGACAAAGAACCGGAGGAAGAAGGAGTTGTAGGAGGTGTACCTTATAACTTGAGAGATAAAAAAGGAAAGTGCATCAAAGGACAATACTAATAACCTGAAAGGTCAAACGCAGAAGAAGCCACAGAATGTAATATTACTAATAAAAGATTAACATACTAATATAATCTTCACTCACCACTATTCTTAATCCCTCTGTATACCCTTCCCTTTTTCTGAAAATTATAAAAGCAATAAAATTCTCTCCTTTTTAGGGGAGTTTTGCAAAAAAAAAAAAGAAAAGAAATTAATTGTGCATAGGGAGGCCTGCATGGATATCTGGCGAGTTTATGGGGAGAGAGGGCAGGTTATTGTTTTAGAATTAATGGATGAGTGTGGAATTTTGATGTAGTTTGGTGTAGTGGTTAAGTGCACGGACTCTAATCTGGGAGAACTGGGTTTGATTCCCCACTCCTCCACTTGCACCTGGCTGGATGACCTTGGGCAAGCCATGGTTCTGATAAGAGCTGTTCTTGAAAAAGAGCAGTTTCTGTCAAGAGCTCTCTCAGCCCCACCTACCTCACAGGGTGTCTGTTGTGGGGAGGGGAAGGGCAAGGAGTTTGTAAGCCACTCTGAGACACCTTTGGGTAGTGAAGGGTGGGATATAAATCCAGTCTCTTCATCTTCTTCTTCTTCTTCTTAATGGACGGATGGATGAGCTATTCCAGAGAATTGGGAGGGGGGCAGTCTGTGCCTAGACAAAGGGGGAATACCCTGCTTGTTGGGGCCTAAGTTGTTTCAGTTGGTGTTTTTAATGTGTTTAGTGTTTTGCTTTATTATATTGTTGTGATTATTTTTATGTTATTGTTACCTGCCTTGGGTCCCAGGATGCCTGGGAGAAAGGCGGGTGATATAAATATTTAAATAAATAAACATAAGATTTTTTTTAAAAAGAACACTGCAGATCCTTTACCTGGATGGTCAGTGAAGTACTCCTGAAAGCCTTCTCTTTCCAGTTCATGGATGAAGATCTCCCCCACCACAGCACGCAACTGCAGAAGTGGCAGACTGGCCTCCAGTATCCCAGTGAACAAAACCACTGGCAGGAGAGACAAAGGATCTAGAATTAGACACCTGAATGCTGATTCCATGGCCCTAAAAAGAAACTCTTCTACCCATCATCTCTGGCATCCCACAGGTTTCATTTCTACTAAGACTGACCAAGAGTTTTACTTATTTGGGCTGCGGTCACACGGAGCATTAGCCACGCTACAGAGACGGAAGATAGGCAGATTTTCCAGGCGCGAGGTACTGAGGTACTAGTTTCCGAAAACTGCGGGGCAAGGGCGGGCGTCTGATCACATTTCCGGTGGTAGCTCGTGGCATCCGGCGCCCGCCCATGTCCCGTCGCGAAAAGGGGTTTTTTCCCCAAGTCTCCACAGGATGCGCACAAGCACCCAACGGCGCATGTGCACACTTCGGTTAAAAAAACCCACAACCCCCGCCGCGCCGCTTCTTTGCCGTGCCGCAGGATTGACATATGATCGGCACCTCCCCCCGAACCATGGGACGGCGACGGGATGTTTGATCCGGCGGCCCTGTGGTAGTTTGCTCCGGGGCAAACAGCCACGCCTCCCCCCCGCGATATCCGGCCCATGTGACCGGGGCCTTGATTCGTTTATACCCCTACCTTTCTTCCCTAATGAGGACCAAAAGCAGCTTTTATCATTCTCCTCTTCTCCATTTTATCCTCACAACCACCCTGTGAGGTAGGCTAGGCTGAGAGAGTATGACTGGCTCAAAGCCACCTGGAGAGTTTCTATGGCATGGCATTCGAACCTGGGTCTCTCAGATACTAGTATATCACTCTTACCCACTACACCACACTGGCACAGCACATGGTTTCCTAATATGAGGGGGGGACACGCTGGAGGCTGTCAGGTTATTCTAGAGCAGGGAGATAGGTTTAGGGTTGCCAGGTCTGGGTTGGGAAAGAACTGGAGATTTTGGGGGTGGCGCCTGGGTAGAGCAGGGAATTGGGAAGCAGAGGGACCTCAGCAAGGTATAATGCCATAGAGTCCATCCCACAAAGCAACCATTTTCTCCAGGGGAATTGATCTTGGTCATCTGGAGATCAACTGTAGTAGCAGGACATCTGCAGGTACCAGCTGGAGGTTGGCAACTCTAGATAGCTTGTGAACTACCGTAGTTTGCCAGGCGCTGCAGAAGCAGTTCATTCAACCTCAAGAAGACCCAGAAAAAGATTTTCTCTAGGCTTTTAAAAAATTTAAAATACTTTAAAAAGAACCTTTTATTTTCACAAGATATTCCTCCGTGCTGCTTATCTAATACCTTCATTTCTGGTGCTCTTCCTATAGCCCTATTTCTAGGGCAGAACAAAAACTGGTAATGTGTTGGGGGGGAGCAGTTTGGGATATTTTTCATTAGTCAGAAGTAGGTCTCATTAAAGAAAAGGTTGGCAACCTCTCTTCTAGAGAAGCGGCCAAGCCTGAATTAATGGTGAACGGAAAGAACTTTATTCCTCAGACCAGTTAAGAACAGAAGTACAAACTGCATCCGTTCAGGACCCGGGACCACCTATAAGAGTAATAAGGTAACAGTTCAAGATACTCATTATAGAGATTTCTTCGTCCAGATTTGCCAGCCAGTGTAGGATAGTGTTGGATTGAGGTCTGGAGACCCAGGTTCAAATCCCTACTGGCCCATATAGGTTACTGGGTGACCTTGGCCCAGTCACACCCTCTCAGCCTAACCTACTTTGCAGGGTTGTTTTGAGGATAAAATAGGGAAGCAAGAGAACCATGTATGCTGCCCTGAGCTCCTTAGAGGAAAGATGGAATGAAAATAAATTAGGTAGGTAAAATCCCACTCATGAAATTTCCTCAGTCTTGAACTAGTCATGGAATAAGACTCAGCTGCACATTCATCCATGAATTTGTAAGCAGAAGCTGGAGTGAGCAGCAGTTCACAATGCAGCATGAGGTGGAGGTCAGAGTGTTGAAACCCCCAAGTTTCAAAAAGATTGGACCAGGGGGTCCAATTCTATGAGACCCAAAAGAAGGTGCCCCCCATTATTTCCAATGGAGGCAAAGCATTTAAAAGGAACAGGGTCATTTTAAATGTGACAGCAGCTCACCCGGGACTCACTTTGAAGTTCCCTCTCCTCCAGCCTCCCTCCCCTCTCCTGGAGCCTCCTGGTAAGTCCCCCACCTGCTTGTCAGCCTCATCTGGAAACCCTACCCTGCCCCCCTCTCCTGTTTCCTCCTGCTGCTTCTGCAGCCAGCAGGAGAAAAATAATGTAAAAAGAGAAAGCCATTGGCAACAGTGTGATGTCACTTCCAGAGGAAACTCGGCAGGGACACCAGTCCTCTCTAGGAATTGCTAGAATCTCTATGGGTTTAACAATAGAGTTTCTGGCAATTCCCAGAGAGGGGTAATTTCAATGCTAGGTTTTCCCTGAAAGTGACATCACACCATCACCAATGACACTCCTCCATGTCCCTGCTTCCCTGACTCCCAAGGCTATTGCAAGGCTACTGGACCTGAATCTCACTGTTCTATTGCAGACAAACACGGCTATTATCTGAGACTGGAAGGCAATATGATATTTTATGCCACTTTGAGTCACCATCAATGCTCCCTCTAAGCTGTGAAGTCTTGTGAGCAAAAATTCCACTTTGTGTGCTACTGACATTAAAATTGTGAGTGAACGATTTGGCTACTGCATAAATTAGTTTGATCTGGACCCATCCTTCCTGAGCTAAGACAAAAATATGTGAGCCAGAAGCTAAAAAACTGTGAGCTAGCTCACACTAACTCAGCTTAGAGGGAACACTGGTAACCATTGGGGAGAAACGCAGGGTACAAATATCTAAATAAACATTAATATCTAAATAAATATACATACGATCTCACAGTAACAGAAGCAGGCCGTGAAAAGATCATAAACTGAGGTATTCTATTTGTGAAGTGGAGGAAGCAGAAGTCCAGCCCGCTTTTGTTTCCTTCCCCATGTCTTAAAGCTCCAGATTTGCCAAGCCAACGACTCTTCTGTTTTCCTTTATCTGTGCCTTTGCTTTCAAAAGGATCCCAGACAGTCCCAGTGTTATATTCATCTTCTCACCCTTGCTTGTTACATTTCAAAAGGTAGCAGATTTTTTTCCCCCTTAGCTTTTTACTGCCTTCTCCCAGGAGGGGATTTGTCACACTTGCCTGGCATCATCAAGGCCTGTTTGTAATTTAATTAAGAAGCCTCTCTGCCTGCTGCTTTCTCTTTTAAAAGGCTGCCCACAAAGCCCAACACCTACCAGCCAAACAATGCAACCTCCTAACGTCTAGCCAGGCATCTGTCTCCATAAAGACCAAGAGCTACTTTACACAGCCTGGGTACATCAAACTTCCACCAATGTTTGCTGCAGAAAATGCAGTGAATGTGAGGATGGAAGAAGATATGAAGAGTCCTGTATTACTTAAAATCTTGCTCACAGAATTAACTGGATCCCAGTAACTACATGAACACCCTAACAAGTCGAAGACGACAACTTAAAGGGGTGCTCTTCCATCTTTTCAGACCCCAAAAGCATCCCCAACCATGGAGCTGCAAGCATCTGACAGGAAGTCATGGTACATCGAAGTCATATGACAGGAAGAGGAGGAGCCCAAGTTATGACCTCACTGGTGTCAAGGCCAGGACTATGAGCAGCAAGAGCTGGGGACAGGAAATACAAGACAAGTTGCACTGTACAAGCCAAGATGAGCACCATGGAGGACTCCTTTCCACCAATGAGTGATCTCACCTTATTGTCCTGACGCTCCTCTCAGCATGCATGTAAAGAGAGGCAGGAGGCATGTGCCTCACTTGCAGTCTACATAGCAGGTAATTCTGAGAAACAGCCAGGAATAATAATAATAAAAAAACCACCCTGCAGGGCTACAGGAACTTACAACACAATTGAAGAAGAAGAAGAAGAGATTGGATTTATACCCTGCCCTTCACCACCCAAAGGTGTCTCAGAGCGGCTGACAAACTCCTTTCCCTTCCCCTCCCCACAACAGACACCCTGTGAGGTGGGTGGGGCTGAGAGAACTCTGACAAGGAAAACTCCGGCTGATGTCTGAAAGAATGGTAGGGTGCCAGGCTACCATGCTCCGAGAGGGAATTCCAGAATTGGAGTGCTACCACAAAGAAGGCCTTGTTGCCAATACTTACCCATCCTCACCTCCAAAGGTGGGGGCACTGAACAGTAGAGGCTATAATGAAATCTCACTTGATGGGAAAGTCCGTCTGGGAGATGTTTTTTGTACTCTGGTCCTGATAGTGGTAGAAATGCTGTCAAGTTGCAGTCGACTTATGGCAACCCCCGTAGGGTTTTCTTTTTTCTTTTTTTTTAAGCCCCCGGAGGGGATTTTTTATTGATTTTTTAAACACTACAAAAACTAGAACAGAAAAAAGGGAAAGGGAAAGCTACATATAAGGGAGAAAGTAAAGAACCCACTACTAACTAAAAACCCAAGAGAGGAGATCTCCAACTAGCTTTTTATACTTCATTCAGACTTTTCATCTTTGTACTTCTTATGAACTGTGTCAATCTTTTAACCCTTTTAACCATCCCCAGTTACATTTAATTGCCCAATAACAGTGCCCCCCATCATCCCCTAGAACCAAAGTTCTCAAAGGCACAATTCAGAGTCCTTCAGCCTTTACTTCTTCTTCTCTTTCTTCCGCAATTTGTAGGAACTTTTTGGGACTGATGCCCCCTGCTCAGACAAAGAGTCCTCACCAGATGTAGGAACTTTTCGGGGCTGATGCCCCCTGTTCAGACAAAGAGTCCTCACCAGACGAACCAGTTTCCCGCTCTCCACTGGACTTATCGTCCTCTTCTTTTTTCTCGTCTTCTGGCCTTCCCAGCTGCTCCTTTAGGGACTCTTGAGCTTTAAGAACAGAGTCAATCTTGACCTTCTTCTCCTTGAACTTGAATATTACTCCTTCTGGAAACAGCCATTTATATCCAATTGAGTTTGTTTGGAGGAAAAACACAAGTTCTTTGTATTTCTTTCTGCGTCGTCTTACTTCAAATGGAGTAT